GGAATGGAGATAAGAAACGCCCTAACCTTTGGAATAGAAATTGATAGGATTAAAATCAACTGGTATGAATACAGATGTAACAAGACATTGAAACACAGAACCTGGCTGGAGATCCTGGCTAGAGAACCTGGCTAGGCTGCTGATCAACTGAACGCTGTCTCCGTGTCATTCCTTCATTCTTTGCCGACTCCGTCCAAACCTTTGGGAACGCCTGGACCTGCTGGGGCAGGACCCCACCAGGGCCTCCGGAGCGTGTGGTTTAGGGGAGCGGGTCGCCGAACCCCAGAGCAGCCGCCGCCATGGCGGATGTGACCGCCCGGAGCCTGCAGTACGAGTACAAGGCGAACTCGAATCTTGTCCTCCAAGCTGACCGTTCTCTCATTGACCGGACCTGCCGGGATAAAACCACAGGAGAGGTGCTATCCCTGGTTGGGAAGCTGGAGGGCACCCGGATGGGAGATAAGGCTCAACGGACCAGACCACAGATGCAGGAGGAAAGAAGAGCCAAGCGAAGAAAGCGTGACGAGGACCGTCACGCCATCAACAAGATGAAGGGGTACACTCTGCTCTCGGAGGGCATCGATGAGATGGTGGGCATCATCTATAAGCCCAAAACCAAAAACACCCGGGAGATTTACGAAGTGCTGCTCAGCTTCATCCAGGCTGCCCTTGGGGACCAGCCCCGTGATATTCTTTGTGGGGCAGCTGATGAAGTTCTAGCTGTCCTAAAGAATGAAAAGCTTCGTGACAAGGAAAGGAGAAAGGAGATTGATCTGTTGCTGGGGCAGACAGATGATACCCGATACCATGTGCTGGTGAACTTGGGCAAGAAGATCACAGACTATGGTGGAGACAGGGAAATCCAGAATATGGATGACAACGTTGATGAGACCTATGGTGTGAATGTCCAGTTTGAGTCTGATGAGGAGGAAGGCGATGAAGATGTTTATGGGGAGGTTCGAGAAGAGGCGTCCGATGATGACATGGAAGGGGATGAGGCTGTGGTGCGCTGCACCCTCTCAGCTAATCTTGTAGCCTCTGGTGAACTGAAGGGTTCTAAGAAGAAGGATTTGCACCCTCGGGACATCGATGCGTTTTGGCTGCAGCGGCAGCTCAGTCGCTTCTATGATGATGCCATTGTATCGCAGAAGAAGGCAGACGAAGTGTTGGAAATCTTAAAGACGGCCAGTGATGACCGGGAGTGTGAGAACCAGCTGGTGCTCCTGCTCGGTTTCAATACTTTCGATTTAATTAATGTGCTGCGGCAGCACAGGATGATGATTTTATACTGCACCTTGCTGGCCAGTGCACAGAGTGAAGCTGAAAAGGAAAGGATCATGGGAAAGATGGAAGCTGATCCAGAGTTATCTAAGTTCCTCTACCAACTTCACGAGACGGAGAAGGAGGATCTGATCCGGGTAAGGGCTGGGCTGGCTTTTCTGTCTGAGTTCGGGGCTAGAGTGTTTGCTTTGGAAAAGAGACATCAGTTAGAAGATTGCAGCATAAAGCTAAATGCTTGGGAGCACTGGACATTCTGCAGATGCTGGGACGAGCCGGAAGACCCCAGTATGACACCAAGGGCGAAGGCATCCTCATCACATCCATTGGCTCTGAGGCAGGTTCTGGACTTGGAGGACCTGGTTTTTACGCAAGGGAGTCACTTCATGGCCAACAAACGCTGTCAGCTTCCGGATGGATCCTTTCGGCGCCAGCGTAAAGGCTACGAAGAGGTGCACGTGCCTGCTCTGAAGCCCAAGCCCTTCGGCTCTGAGGAACAACTGCTTCCAGTGGAGAAGCTGCCCAAATACGCCCAGGCTGGATTCGAGGGCTTCAAGACGCTGAACCGGATCCAGAGTAAGCTCTACCGGGCCACCCTGGAGACAGACGAGAACCTGCTACTGTGCGCCCCCACTGGTGCCGGGAAGACCAACGTGGCCCTGATGTGCATGCTCCGCGAGATCGGGAAGCACATTAACCCCGACGGCACTATCAACGTGGACAACTTCAAGATCATCTACATCGCCCCGATGCGCTCCCTGGTGCAGGAGATGGTGGGCAGCTTTGGGAAGGTAAGAGTGGGGCTCCTCCAGAAGATGCTGTCTGTAGCGTCACAGGGCAGGGGGCCTGGCTCGTCACTGCTTCCTGTATCAAGGCGTCTCTGCAGTGCCTCGGATGGCGTTTCCACTTCAAAGGTGGTACTTGACCCAAGTACAGAGTGTTTCTGAACCAAGAATGTCCTTGACCTATTCTGGCCTTTACAAGGGTGTGTCGTCTTTCTGTCACCCTCTGCATAGCAGTATTCTCCAGTTCTCCTGGGCGCTGTTGGAGTAGCTCTGTGGCCCTTGAGCGCCACCCTCCCCAACTACGAAGATGTGGCCACATTTCTGCGTGTTGATCCTGCCAAGGGCCTCTTCTACTTCGACAATAGCTTCCGCCCAGTGCCTCTGGAACAGACCTACGTAGGCATCACAGAGAAAAAAGCTATCAAGCGTTTCCAGATCATGAATGAAATAGTCTACGAGAAGATCATGGGACATGCGGGGAAAAATCAGGTGCTGGTGTTTGTCCACTCCCGGAAGGAGACTGGGAAGACGGCCAGGGCCATTCGGGACATGTGCCTGGAGAAGGACACTCTGGGTCTGTTTCTGAGAGAGGGCTCCGCCTCCACAGAAGTCCTTCGGACGGAGGCAGAGCAGTGCAAGAACCTGGAGCTGAAGGATCTGCTGCCCCATGGCTTTGCTATTCATCATGCGGGCATGACCAGAGTGGACAGGACACTCGTAGAGGACCTTTTTGCTGATAAACACATTCAGGTTTTAGTTTCCACAGCAACTCTGGCTTGGGGTGTGAATCTCCCCGCACATACAGTCATCATCAAAGGCACCCAGGTGTATAGTCCAGAGAAGGGGCGCTGGACAGAGTTGGGAGCACTGGACATTCTGCAGATGCTGGGACGAGCCGGAAGACCCCAGTATGACACCAAGGGCGAAGGCATCCTCATCACATCGCATGGGGAGCTTCAGTACTACCTGTCCCTCCTCAACCAGCAGCTTCCTATTGAGAGCCAGATGGTGTCAAAGCTGCCTGACATGCTCAACGCGGAAATCGTGCTGGGAAATGTCCAGAATGCAAAGGATGCAGTGAACTGGCTGGGCTATGCCTACCTGTATATCCGAATGCTCCGGTCCCCAACCCTCTACGGCATCTCTCATGACGACCTCAAGGGAGACCCCCTGCTGGACCAGCGCCGGCTGGACCTGGTGCATACTGCTGCCTCGATGCTGGATAAGAACAACCTGGTCAAGTATGATAAGAAGACAGGCAACTTCCAGGTGAGGGCTGAGGGGTGGAAGTGGAGGCTCGCAAAAGTCATTGTCCCAGGAGACCTGTTCAGGCCACTCTTAATTTGAGCACTGGCTCATGCTCATTGCTTGGAACAGTAGAAAGCAGGTGAGTGCACTATGCACTGTGCTGATTGAGCCTAGGAACTCCTAAAATGGTACAGTCAAGCCTGTCAGCGCCTCTTTTCTGTAACTTGAGTGGAGGTGGCTAATTTATCTGTCTTTTCTGTGTGGGTATCAGTTCACTATAGGGCAGATTATTGTGCCATCTTTCTTCATGTGCTTGGGCCAGGGACTTGTATTGTGATGTGTTCACCCAGTGGGCACCTGTTGTTTGCAATGAGAGGTCGCAGCTCAGCATTGGATTGCGTCTTCCTCCTTCATAGGTGACAGAACTGGGCCGTATAGCCAGCCACTACTACATCACCAACGACACCGTGCAGACCTACAACCAGCTGCTGAAGCCCACTCTGAGCGAGGCTGAGCTCTTCAGAGTCTTCTCGTTGTCCTCAGAGTTCAAGAACATCACTGTGAGAGAGGAGGAGAAGCTGGAACTGCAGAAGCTGTTGGAGAGGGTGCCCATTCCCGTAAAGGAGAGCACTGAGGAGCCCAGTGCGAAGATCAACGTGCTCCTCCAAGCCTTCATCTCACAGCTGAAACTGGAGGGCTCGGCACTGATGGCTGACATGGTGTACGTCACACAGTCGGCGGGCCGGTTGATGCGGGCCATCTTTGAAATTGTCCTGAACCGCGGTTGGGCACAGCTTACAGACAAGACCCTGAATCTCTGCAAGATGATCGATAAACGCATGTGGCGGTCCATGTGTCCGCTGCGTCAGTTCCGCAAACTCCCTGAGGAAGCAGTGAAGAAGATTGAGAAGAAAGAATTCCCCTTTGAGCGTCTGTATGACCTGAAAGACGTTGAGATAGGGGAGCTCATCCGCATGCCGAAGATGGGCAAGACCATCCACAAATACGTCCACCTGTTCCCCAAGTTGGAGCTGTCGGTGCACCTGCAACCCATCACGCGCTCCACCCTGAAGGTGGAGCTGACCATCACGCCAGACTTCCAGTGGGATGAAAAGGTCCATGGTTCGTCCGAGGCATTCTGGATTCTGGTGGAGGATGTGGACAGTGAGGTGATACTGCACCATGAGTATTTTCTACTCAAGGCCAAGTATGCCCAGGATGAGCACCTCATTACGTTCTTTGTGCCTGTCTTTGAACCACTGCCCCCTCAGTACTTCATCCGAGTGGTGTCTGACCGCTGGCTCTCTTGTGAGACCCAGCTTCCGGTCTCTTTCCGATACCTGATCCTGCCAGAGAAGTACCCACCTCCCACTGAACTTCTGGACCTGCAGCCCTTGCCCGTGTCTGCCTTGAGAAACAGCACCTTCGAGAGCCTTTACCAAGGTAAATTTCCTTTCTTCAACCCCATCCAGACCCAAGTGTTTAACACAGTGTACAACAGTGATGACAACGTGTTTGTGGGAGCACCCACCGGCAGCGGGAAGACCATCTGTGCGGAGTTCGCCATCCTGCGCATGCTGCTGCAGAGCTCGGAGGGGCGCTGTGTCTACATCACCCCCGTGGAGGCGCTGGCAGAGCAGGTGTACAGGGACTGGTACAAGAAGTTCCAGGACCGGCTCAGCAAGAAGGTGGTGCTTCTGACGGGCAAGACCAGCACAGACCTCAAGCTTCTGGGCAAAGGCAACATCATCATCAGTACCCCTGAGAAGTGGGACATCCTCTCTTGGCGCTGGAAGCAGCGCAAGAACGTCCAGAACATCAGCCTCTTCGTGGTGGATGAGGTCCACCTCATCGGGGGCGAGAATGGGCCTGTTTTGGAAGCGATCTGCTCCCGGATGCGCTATATCTCCTCCCAGACCGAGCGGCCCATTCGCATTGTGGCACTCAGCTCCTCGCTCTCAAACGCTAAGGATGTGGCCCACTGGCTGGGGTGCAGTGCCACGTCCACTTTCAACTTCCACCCGAATGTGCGCCCTGTGCCCTTGGAGCTGCACATCCAGGGCTTTAACATCAGCCACACACAGACTCGCCTGCTGTCCATGGCCAAGCCCGTGTACCATGCAATCACCAAGCACTCGCCCAAGAAGCCTGTCATCGTTTTTGTGCCGTCCCGCAAGCAGACCCGCCTCACTGCAGTCGACGTCCTCAGCACGTGTGCAGCGGACATCCAGCGGCAGAGGTTCTTGCACTGCACCGAGAAGGACCTGATCCCATATCTGGAGAAGCTGAGCGACAACACGCTCAGGGAGACGCTGTTGAACGGTGTGGGCTACCTGCACGAGGGGCTCAGCCCCGTGGAGCGGCGCCTGGTGGAGCAGCTCTTCAGCTCAGGGGCCATCCAGGTGGTGGTCGCTTCTCGGAGTCTCTGCTGGGGCATGAGCGTGGCCGCCCACCTGGTGATCATCATGGACACCCAGTACTACCATGGCAAGATTCACGCGTACGTGGACTACCCCATCTATGACGTGCTTCAGATGGTGGGGCGTGCCAACCGACCTCTGCAGGATGACGAGGGGCGCTGTGTCATCATGTGTCAGGGCTCCAAAAAGGATTTCTTCAAGAAGTTCTTATACGAGCCCTTGCCAGTGGAGTCTCACCTGGACCATTGCATGCATGACCACTTCAACGCTGAGATTGTCACCAAGACCATGGAGAACAAGCAGGACGCCGTGGACTACCTCACCTGGACCTTTCTGTACCGCCGCCTGACACAGAACACCAACTACTACAACCTGCAGGGCATCTCCCACCGCCACCTGTCTGACCACTTGTCGGAGCTGGTGGAGCAGACCCTGAGTGACCTGGAGCAGTCCGAGTGCATCAGCATAGAGGACGAGATGGACGTGGCACCTCTGAACCTGGGCATGATCGCCGCCTACTATTACATCAACTACACAACCATAGAGCTCTTCAGCATGTCCCTAAATGCCAAGACCAAGGTACGGGGGCTCATCGAGATCATCTCCAATGCGGCCGAGTACGAGGACATTCCCATCCGGCACTGTGAGGACAACCTCCTGCGGCAGTTGGCTCAGAAGGTCCCGCACAAGCTGAACAACCCTAAGTTTAATGACCCGCGTGTCAAGACCAACCTGCTCCTGCAGGCTCACCTGGCCCGCATGCAGCTGAGTGCTGAGCTGCAGTCGGATACTGAGGAGATCCTTAGCGAGGCGATCCGGCTCATCCAGGCCTGTGTGGACGTCCTCGCCAGCAATGGGTGGCTCAGTCCTGCTCTGGCAGCCATGGAACTGGCCCAGATGGTCGAGTACGAGGACATTCCCATCCGGCACTGTGAGGACAACCTCCTGCGGCAGTTGGCTCAGAAGGTCCCGCACAAGCTGAACAACCCTAAGTTTAATGACCCACATGTCAAGACCAACCTGCTCCTGCAGGCTCACCTGTCCCGCATGCAGCTGAGTGCTGAGCTGCAGTCGGATACCGAGGAGATCCTTAGCGAGGCGATCCGGCTCATCCAGGCCTGTGTGGACGTCCTCGCCAGCAATGGGTGGCTCAGTCCTGCTCTGGCAGCCATGGAACTGGCCCAGATGGTCACCCAAGCCATGTGGCCCAAGGACCCATACCTGAAGCAGCTGCCACACTTCACCTCAGAGCACATCCAACGCTGCACAGACAAGGGAGTGGAGAGTGTTTTCGACATCATGGAGCTGGAGGATGAAGAGCGAAATGCGCTGCTTCGGCTGTCTGACGGCCAGATGGCGGACGTGGCCCGCTTCTGCAACCGCTACCCGAATATCGAGCTCTCTTACGAGGTGGTGGATAAGGACGGCATCCGCAGTGGCGGGCCCGTGGTGGTGCTGGTACAGCTGGAGCGAGAGGAGGAGGTCACAGGTCCCGTGATGGCACCTCTCTTCCCACAGAAACGTGAAGAGGGCTGGTGGGTGGTGATCGGAGATGCCAAGTCCAATAGCCTCATCTCCATCAAGAGGCTGACCCTGCAGCAGAAGGCCAAGGTGAAGCTTGACTTCGTGGCCCCGGCCACTGGTGCCCACAGCTACACTCTGTACTTCATGAGTGACGCTTACATGGGATGTGACCAGGAATACACATTCCGTGTGGATGTGAAAGAAGCTGAGACAGACAGCGACTCGGATTGAGTGCAGAGGCCTTTGCCTTTGCATAGAGTTGAAACTTGTACAGTTGAACGGGATCACAGCTATGGAGACCAGGTCTGTTGGCTGGGAGAACTGGCAGTCAACGCAGGTGCCGTCCCAGCCCACCTCCAGTTTTCCGCTTGCTACCTTGCCATCCAAACTTTGGATCCAGTGTCTGTAGGTGTCGTGTAGCTGTTCAGCATAAACTGTACAGCATTTGTATGCATGTTCTTGGTAGTTCTTTGATTACAGAATCAGACATTCTAATAAAACAAGTTGGAGAAACCAAAAAAACAAACAAACATTTTGACATATGTTCCCAGTATTTTTCTATACATTTTTTTACAACAACATACAAAGGTTGCAAACTGCTTTCTCAGAGCAAAATATGTCACTTACATCTTCCATATCAATATGTATTATTTATACATATTTAACATGTTGACAAAGTGTGTATTGTTTTTGACAAAAATTTGAGCCAGTAACTGTGGTAGGGTTTAGAGGACCCAAAAGTGAACAAGACCCTGGCCACTGTTGCTCAGTGGTTAAGCCCATGAACCAAGAGGTCACTGGTTTGATTTCCAGTCAGAGCACATGCCTGGGTTTTGGGCTTGATCCCCAGTAGGGAAGGTGCGGGAAGCAACTCATCAATGTTTCTATCTTTCTATCACTCTCCTTTACGCACTCTCTAAAAATCAATAAAAATATTTTTTTTAAATGAACAAGAGATGCCCCAGCCAGGTGGCTCAATTGGTTGAAACATCATCCTGTGCACCAAAAGGTTTCAGGTTCCATTCCTGGTTGGGACACATACCTAGGTTTTGGGGCCTATATTAGAGGCAAGCCATCAGTGTTTCTCTTTCTCTCTCTCCCTCTCTCTCAATAAAATCAATAAACATATCCTTGGGTGAGGATTTTTTTTTAAAAAAGTGAATAAGAGACAGTCCTTGTCCTCAAGGAACTAGAAGTCCAGTCAAGGAAACAGATAAGTAAATTATTACAATAGAGCATATATCTATCGATGCATAACAAACTGTCTCTAGTAATGGGTTGAATGGTGAGCCTCAAAAAGATATCTCCGTGAATACAATGGACTGAATTGTGCACCCCAAATTCAGATGTTGAAGCATTAACATCTAATGTGACTTTAGGAGGTAATAAAGGTTAAAGGAGGTAATAAGGGTAGGGCCCAAATCCAATAGGATTAGTAGCCCTATAAGATGAGAAAGAGAGCCCTAGATGGTTTCTCTCAGTGGGTAGAGTGTCGGCCTACTGACTGAAGGGTCCTGGGTTCAATTCTGATCAAGGGCACATGCCTGAGTTGCAAGCTCGATCCCGTGCAGGAGGCAGCCAATCGATGATTCTCTCTCTCACTGATTTTTTTTTTCTCTCCCTCTCCCTTCCTCTCTGAAATCAACAAAAATATATTTTTTAAAAAAGTAAAACCACACAAATTGGAGGAAAAGCAACCACTAATTTTAGGACAAACTCTAGCCCTCCTGAGCCCGTACCCTGGCCTCACCTGAGTGTAATGGGTGCAGGTGGCATTGAGGGCACACTCCGCCACCTCATGGCTGTACCGCTGGCCTTCTGCAAACCACAGGCCCACCACGTGGACGAAGGATGCCGAGCCCACTGGCAGCAGCTGCACATTCCAGCCCACCTGGGAAGTGGCCCCCGGAGTGGGCACCAGGCTTGGGGCCGGGGCGCCACAGCGGGCTGCCCTGGCCTGAGCCTGTCGGGCATGAAATTTGTTCACGGGCAGGGTCCCTAGTCCTGGCTGGCAATCAGGGTTGACCGGGGCCTTCCTTCCCCCAGCTGCCAGCTGCTGGCCCAGGCCTTCCTTCGTTCTGCACCTCCCCCTGGTGGTCAGCACACGTCACATTGAGCAGTCAAACTCCCAGTCGGTCAAACTCCGGAGGGGACAATTTGCATATTGGCCTTTTATTATATAGAACTAGAGGCCCAGTGCACAAAAATTTGTGCACTCGGGGGTTTCCTCAGCCCGGCCTGTGCCCTCTCGCAGTCTGGGACCCCTCGGGGGATGTCCACCTGCTGGCTTAGGCCTGCTCC